CTGTTTTAACAACCCGATACCACACCTGCAGTATATTTTGACCAGATTAAAAAACCTGAAGGACAGATTCCAATAAGCTGGTCTGAACTTGCCTTAGGGATACAGTAGGGAACTTCTTTTTAATTAGTAGTGATCATACGAGGTTGGTTTGACGGTTTTAGTAGAAAGAGACGAAATCTGTACTGTTCATTGAATCTGAACAGTAGTGTCAATTTTTCCACTTCAAACAAACCTCTTTCTCTAACCGTTCTGCTCTATTTAATTAGAATTATGTCTCGCTTATGTAGTTGCTTCAGACAGGGATCAAGAATACATCTGAGCAAGCTTGCACAAACTTGTGCTTTACCATTTATTCTAAAAATCTAGATGCTTAGCAAAATTAATATTGGAAGCTGCCTAAAAAATTTTAATGACTTTTTTTTCCTGCGTTCTATTTAGCTGGCTGAAAGTGCCTGCAGAAAAAAAAAAAGGATATACAATAAATTACAAGCAAGCAAAAACCTCTCTGGTGCATTATTCTCAGATATCTGTACAGGAGAGCCAAAATTCAGCACAGTGCTACACCTTGTAGTAGTACGCCTTGTAGTACTACACAGGTACTACAGTCCAATAGGAATTCCACCAGTAAAGCATTTAAAATATTTATAGCCAAAAGCTAACATCTGAGGCAGGAGTATAAGGGAAATATTCAACCATGGAACTGGTTCTTTCACCCTTAAGACACTTCTGTAAATGCAATCTATAAAGTACAAAAATAAAGACTACTGAGGCAACACCCCATATGCCTTTTTTAAAAAACATTCTTTCCATGCCAAAATGGGATGGTGGTGTGTGTGTGTGTGTGTGTGTGTGTGTGTGTGAGAGAGAGAGAGAGAGAGAGAGAGAGAGAGAGAGAGAGAGAGAGAGCTGTTTAATTACTGGCTGCTGAACTAGAACACCCCCTCAACGCATTCATGTGCATCAGTCTATCAAGCCATTTACTCAAATTAAAAGTGTAATCCTTCAAAATGCCTCCTTTCAAATCAGTTTAAAAGAGCTCAAGTTCACCTGAAAAAGATCCAGTAGGTACCTGGCCTCTTAAAATTCTTCCTTAATTGCATCAAAAACTAGTTTGCATTAGGACAAACAAAACTGATGTTGAAAGAGTGAGATGAGTGCTTTATGTAACTAGAGATATTTCACTGTTTATTCATCTACATCCAGTATTCCCGAGCCACTGAAAAATAAGCCCTCTAGCAATATGAACGTAAACATTACTAATGGGCTACAATTTTGGGTGTGTGTCACCACATCAACAGCTGATCAACACTTTTACAACATACGTACAAAAAACTCATCGTTCTAAACACCTTTTATTGAAAATACCACAGTGAATCATTACTTTATCCGTTCACAATCCCAGCTAGCTCTATCCTTGCTTTTTTGTTTGTTTGTTTGTTTAAGGTGGCAAAGAAACCCAATTTTACTTGTGCAAGATAGGTTTTAGCAGCTAGCTGTGAGCTGAAATTCTTAAAAAGTTCAGGAAGTTAATTTATTCACATCTCTCCCAACTTTTCTATTGTTATCCGGGGAAAGACATGCCCTTATAAAATCAGGCTTCTAGTTCTGAACTGCTACCTACAGATGGGGTGATTTCCACCTCAAGCTGTCCTTCATATCTGCGCATCTTCTTCAAAGAACCAAACTACTTCCCCTCTGCCCAACTCACCTGATATAGTCGTTTCTGCACAGGATCATGCCACTCTTCGTGTAACAGGATGTACCAATTTCTCCCAGCTGGGCTTGGCAGCAGGAGCACTTCAGGCACCGACTATGCCAATAGCTATCCATGGCATAGAGCAAGAAGCGATCAGCAATCTTTCCCCCGCAGCCTGCACATCTTTTCCATGAGAGGGAGCCACTGGTGACAGGGGGGGGTTGCGAGCTGCTCCCTGGGTTCACCATGGTCTGGATAGGGGGGGAAAAAAGGAAGGAAGGAAGGAAGGAAGGAAGGAAAGAAGGAAAGAAGGAAGGAAGGAAGGAAGGAAAAGAGAAGAGTGGGTTAATTTTCAGCAAACAGCCCTGTGCAATTTGCCTGCTTAATGCAGCCCTTCCTAAGGGGAGAGAGAAGAGAGAAAAATGGGGAACAGCCACTTGTTTACTTTTCAAAGTCTTTGTTCTGGGTTAATTAGCCGCCTCCCTTCCAAGTTGGCTAGTGGTGCCCAGTGACAGTTTTCGCTCGCAATGCTCCTGTCAAACTTAGAGTGACCCCCGCTTTGTTTGTTGCCAAGAAAGTACACACACCTGGAGTCACACAGTCTGCTTGGCCCTCCCAGATATAAACGGCTGGGGCCCACATCACTAAAATTGGAAGGGCGGAAAAACTAGTCAGAAGAGCACCAATTACACTTCTTGCGAAGCACAGTTGTACTACTTTCTCACCTTTAGAAGAGTTCAGGAAATTGTTTAGTTCTAGGTAGGAGAGTAATCTTTTGAAAAAAAAAATACTCAAAAGTTGTGAAACTGGTTTTTCAAGGTCTCCTTTTTCATGCCATTGTTATTTGCAGGGGCTCCCAACCATGATTGTCCTAATGTATTTGTTCTAAAAAAGATCAAATGAAGGGGAGCCCCACCTCCTGAAAAAAATAATAATGGATCACTAAAGTTTAAGAAGCCTGTTAACTTCCTATACAAACAGAATCTACCTTTGTTTTGCTAATCTGCCCTTGATCAGCAATTTAGATGCTAAATGCTTTGTTGCCCTAAAAAAAAAAAAAAGTTTTGTGGTAATAGCAGAGGTATAGGTTATTCAAGTGTGCCCCACTAGGAAACAGCTAAGCACAGCTGTTTGTAAAATTGCTGTTTTTGTTTAAAGATTGTGTACACACTCACAAAGAGATGTGTTTGTTGCTTTCTAATAAACACTTCTAAAAGCAGGGCAATGGAGAGATTAATAATAGAACCAATTCATAAAGCTTATTCCAAACAGATTAATTTGCTCCAGCAGCCAAAATAGGAGTGCCCCTTCTGTCATTTCTGTAATAAAATATCAAGTTGTTTACTGCCAATTTAGCAGCACATTTTGCCTTTGTCCTTCCTAAGCGCACTTTCTCAACCTAAGGCATCTATTTATTTAATAAGACCCCCCCTTTCCCAAGGGAAAAACAGTGCAAACTTTCCTCGCCACTTGCTTAACTTCATTTCAACAGCAGCTTCAGGTTCCTTAAAATAGGCCATTAAAAAAAGAATAAAACAAACAGGATTTCCTTCAAAATAACTCCTGATCATATGTTTCAGATGACCACACAATAAACCAGACTGAGAACTGCACCAATTAAGACTGTAACTAAAAACCCCAAGACTTGGGAAAGAGAACCACTCTAAAAGCCATTAGCATTGCATTTCTCTGAATGCACCATATACCTTTATGTAAATTGATTTCTGATGCATTTAACTCGCGGAATGGCCTTTTGTTACTACTTCCAGCAATATGAATCTGCAATTTCTTACTTTTATTTAAAACAAACAGATTTCAAATTATATAAAGCGCACTGAGATCGTCTGTAGGCAGACAAACACAAACCCCACTGATTTGCTCTTCCCTCCACCCCCCCCAATCTGCTTTGAAAGGTAAATATTATATATAAATGAAACGTTACAGGGACAGAAGTGTCCAGTAACCCCATTAAGCTAAAGCTCTTAAGGACAGGCAATACCTTAATGCTGATTAAATCTAAAAGAGGCCAAATCAAGAGGGCTGACCAGAAAGTGACTCCCTGATAACTAAGGACAGGTCCTCCTCAAGTTTCATTTGGAATTGGAGGGGTGACAGAGCAAGAGAAGAAAAGCTTTTAAGTTAAATAGGCTTCCTCTGGTAATTACACAGCTAAGCAATTTAGGTCCCGGAACGGAACAGAGGCAATGCAACAAAAAGAGAGAGAGAGAGAGAGAGAGAGAGAAAGAAAGAAAGAAAGAGAGAGAGCTGGCAGCTAGAGGCAAAACACACCCTCCCCTCCTTTTAACAACGTCTCTTGTGATTTTAATGGAGACCGAGGGAGGAACGAACGAAACGTAGAGCTTTGCAATTTGTTGTACAAAATCGGGGATGCTTCATTCACGGCTTAGTTTTAATTAGGTTGATTCGTCAAGATTTCTCGCGAACAAAAAAGGAGGGAGAAGAAGAGAGAGGGAAAACACACACACACACACACACACACACACACACACGCAAAACAGCTCACTTTAGAGTCTCTTCCCCCCCCCCCGGCAACCTGCCACTGTTTCAAAATAATGTGACTACAAAGAAAGTGGGGTGACGGTCCTCTCCTCCCAAGCTTCGGGACTCGCAGGCGGATTTCGGGCAAAGGGGGAAGCGAGGCGCGCGCGGGGCAAAGCGCTTCCCCCCCCCCCAACCACCACCACCACCGCTACGCCGCCGCGGGGCAGCCCCCGCCACCGCTCAGCTGGCAAAGCCTGGCAGGCAAGCAGCCCTCGGCGGGTCCCGACCAGAAAAGGCTGGCGATGACTTCCAGTTCCGGATCGGGATGGGGAGGAGGAGGAGGGAGGAGGCGAAGCGGGCTTGGGGAAAGGGGCCCGATTGGGAACCGGTCCAAATAACAGCCCGGCCCCAGAAAGAGGCGCCCCCCCCACCCCCCGCCGTCTTACCTGTTTCCCCTCTATGGTGCAAGAGGCCGTGGATAACGTGGCGGAGGCGTCGGGAGAGCCCTCGGGAGACGGAAAGGTTTTCTCGCCCGAGAAAAGGGGTCTCTTTCGCCCGCTTCTTGGGAAAGCCACTCCCGAAGGCTGGGTTGGGCGAGCGCGGGGTCCTCAGCTCGGGAGAATCCCCAGCCCCACGGGCTAGGAGCAGCGGGGAGAGGGGGGAGAGGATAAAAGAGGCAAATGTCCGGGAAAAGGCTGCTTCAGCCCTGCGTTCTTCTTCTCTTCCTTCCTTCCTTCCTTCCTTCCTTCCTTCTTTCGACCGCCGAGGCTTCCCCTTCGAAGGGAGCTGCACAAGAAGAGCTTATTCGCGGCTGCCGGGCTGCCAAAAGCGAGCGCGGGCGCCTTCGACGTCGCCGCCGCCGCCGCCTGCCGCAATCGCTGGGTTAAGTTTTGGCAGAGGTGGCCGCACTTCGGAGAGCGCGCGCGCGCCTCGCTCTTTCCCCCCACGGCCCCTTTTCCGCCGCCGACACCTCTTCCTCCTCCAGCCCTGCGGGAGGCTCCGGCGGCTTGCCAAAAAAGCGGCTCTTCGATGCCCACCAACTACGGTCCTGGGGCGGAGGAAAGGAGCCGGAGCGCAAGAGAAGGGACAACGGCTGCGGCTGCTGTTGCTGTTGCTGCTGCTTCTCCTGCTGCTGCTGCTGCTGCTCCGCCGAGCAGGAGCCGCGGAGGTGTTGGCGGCGGCGGCAGGCAGGACGTGCAGGGAGGCCCCTCTCGCTAGCGCCCTCGCAGCTTCTCTGCGCCGCTCTTGCCCATGTGTTACTGACAGAGCAAAATCCCAACTGCTCGCGGCTCGGCCCCTCGCGTCACGGCGCCTCGGCCAATCCGCCCGCAGCTTGTTCAGGCGGAATAATAAAACCTGCCAATCGCGAAGGAGACAAAGGAATGTCTTTGGGAAGGGACGGGAGGGGGGTGTGGGGGAGGCCGCGGGGGCGCAGGGGAAGGCGGAGAGGAGACGGGGCTTCGTTAAGTCAGCTCCGAAGCTCCGCCGCGGCCAGAAGCCTGGGCAGGCGAGAGAGGGTGGCGCCGCCCGGGCCGCTCCGTCCCTTTCCGCTCTTTCCTTGGGACCGGAGACCTTCTCCGCCTCATTGATTAGAGCGCAGGAAGGGGAAGGGCGGGGGGGGGGCTGCGTGGTCCTCCCGCCGGGGTCTCCACCCACCGGGTTTACTCGGGGCGCGGTCCCGACCCGTCCCGTCCCTTGTTCGCTTCATTCGCATAAGGCAAGAAGGGCTCGTTTCTCCCTAGGATCCCATAGCGGGACTTAGGTAGGAGCGTCTCACTTCGGGGGGGGGGGGGGAAACACAACTTGGGACCCGCAATAGACGTAGACTTCGTAATCTCTCTTCCTCTCCCTCCCCCCCCCCCCCCCCCCCCCCCCCCCCCCCCCCCCCCCCGAGTTCACTGCAACACAAGCCGCCTTAAAGTCGGCTCGGGGGAAGCGGTGCGGTGTTCCCGCAGGGTAGAGCGTAAAATTACAACCCCGGGGGAGGGTGTTACTCGCTTTGCGCCGGTTGACGTGGGGCACGGTCCCCTTTCGGACTTCTTGTTTATTGTGCCAATAGACGGGCACGAGAGCGCGAAGCCGCCTTGCTTAACGCCGGACTGGATGGAAACGCGCGGCTGGGCGAAAGGGCCAGTTGTTTTTTTTTTTGTCCCTTAGATGTGCGTGGCGCTGCTCCGTGTTGGGAGAGTTTTTTTACAGGTTAGGTGCGAGGAAGCTCTTGGCATGGCAACAGTGCAGGGCGGCCATCCAAGGGAAGGAAAGCGCCCGAGTGCGTTTCCAGCCCCTCTTCTCCGCGCCTCTGCAACGAAGCGGAATATATGGGAGGGTAATTTGCACACAGGGGTGAGGAGAGGAGCACTTCTTTTAGTGCCCGCTTCTGTGAGTCTCCGATTTCACAAAAGTTGCTCGCTCTGGAGATTGTTTCCATTCTTCTCTCTCTCTCTCTCCCCCCCCCCCCCCCCAGTTTCTATGAGTCACAGTAAAAGAAGAAGGGGGGAAAAAAATCTATTTTCCCCTTAAACCGAGTGGTTTAAGTGGACCGTTCCCCCTCCATTTTCCCTCGTAGAGTGAAGGAGCTGGATCTGCGTCAAAAGCATCGCCTGGAAGGGTTGGACAGCTGCATCGCAGCCACCTGGGATGTTCTTGACACTTGCCCAGAAGTCTTCTGGGAAGCTTCTGGACACCCATATACACTGGTCACCCTGGGGTTTAGGGGCACCTCCTAAACTAGAGAGGATGAGCGGGTCTTGCTTAAAGCGCTGCTCCTTCCTCCAGTTCAGTGGTTCTCAACCTGTGGGTCGGGACCCCATTTGGGGTCGATCGACCATTTCATGGGGGTCGCCAAGCAAGGCTGTCCGCCATTTTTTTTGTCCGCCATTTTCCCCCCTTTTCCGGCGGGTGCCTTACCTCCCTTGGGCTGGGCCTGCTGGTGGTCGGCCTGCTCCGTCTCTGCCGCTTGCCAGCTACGCCTCGGCCGGCGCAGGGGGTGGAACCACGCATGCGCGGCGCTCCCGGGCAGGGAAAGTCCTCGACTTACAACCGGTTGGGTAGTCCTCAACTTATGACCGGTTTAGTCCTCGACTTACAACCAGTTTAGTCCTCGACTTACAACCAGTTGGGGTCGCGGCATTAAAAAGGTTGAGAACCACTGCTCCAGTTCCTTTCTTCTGAGGGAGTGGAAATGGAGAAAGCACCCTTTGCCTGCCAGTTTATGAAAAAAACAACAGTTTTTTTTTGTCCCATCAATAGAAAGACAATAAGTGAGGAGAGAAGTGAAGAAGAACAGTTTCCTTGATACCAGTTCTCTGCTTTAATCTCCATGGATTTGGAGAAATGACAGTGGAAGACCCTGCTTCTCCCACTCCTATGGGTCTTTTGGGTACCTGTACTGTCCCCCTCCTACCCATAAGTTGGCAAGAGAACAAGAGAGAGGTGACTTTTGGGCATGGGAGGTGAGTCCTGAGACAACTGACCTTGAAAACCATTGGCCTGTAACCAGAGGGGAGATGTGCCCACGGCAGGCTCTTGCCTCTAATCTTACCTTGGCACAAGATGCCTCAGATAAATCAGAGGGCACACCTTGGTTGGAAGATGATGGAAGATAGTCTTTTTTGATTCAGGTTAAGAAAATGCAGGTAGAAAAACTCCCTTCGCAATTGTTTTGAGCATCATGTCCTTNCCTTGATATATATATATAGCACTTCAAACTAATCGTCTCCATTTCATTTCTTCCTTGTGAATAGTACAACATAATTCCCATCGTCCACAGTATATGGTAATTCATTTTCAGCAAAGAAAGTATTTAGACCTATTTATCGGATAGTCTTTGTGTAAGTTAGAATTGTGAATAAACCCTTAAAAAGTACTAGCCTAGCCATTCCACATATAGTCATTCTGAGGCTGAAAAGTGTACTGTATAAAACCTAGCTGCCTGATTACCTGATACATTTTTATTCATGGTCAAGAAAATGAATATTTGCAAATCTTTATAAAGGCTAAGCCTTCTTATATGCAAAGAGAGGGCTTTATTATTGTACAACATGAAACATCTCTCATAAGCTCTCCTTTATATCTCCATCCCTGCTGTAACAATTCCATTAATTTGAACTGTGTATTTAGACCACATTACCAATAAGTGGAGAGTCAGTTTGGTGTAGTGTTTAAGGCATGAGGCTAGAAACAAGGAGACTTCAGTTCTAGAATTCTCCAGGACACAAGGCCAACTGGGTGACCTTGGACCAGTCATTTTTCAAGTGGCAAACCACTTGAAAGGACTTGTCCAGGCACTCTCTGTGAATCAGACATGATTGAATGGAAGAAAAACAATAATAAGTATAACTTGTTCCATTAACACAGAATGAAGCTGGCTCTCATCAAAGCACTGGTCCTCAAATTGCCTCCAACTGAAAATCAGTTTAGGTCTAAGTATTAATACTGATCCTAGAGGTAATAAATAAGGGAGTCAAACCTGTTTCTTTCTTTTTTTAGCAGAAATTTCAGAATTTTGGACCTGGTTGAATGCTATAAACATTTGGCCAGTTCTTCATGCAATCAAAATTCCATCTTTTGATCTGTTGACTTGAGAGGGGGAAAAAGCAAAACATTCCTCTCATCAAAACAGTAGTTATTGATTTTAAATACTCCTTGTTGAAATCAATGGGGAGTTCAGCTTAAAAATTAATGCTACTGTAACTCAGTGTTATTAATACCCCATAAAATTTTAAAAGAGGCATATGTTTTACATTTGTCTGGCAGTTAACAATGCATCGTGCCATTTAAAAAGGCAATGCCATCATTCTTTAAAACAAACAACGAAGCAAACTTCAGCAGAGCACAGACTAGTTAAAGGAATTAAATATCCCACGGCGTAAAATTCTAATGAAAAAATGAAATATTAATTCCATGAATAGGACAGTTGTTGCGTCCCACACATAACAAAGTTATACGCAAACATCCTCAAAGAGGAAATATTAATAAAGGAAGCCTTAAGTACATAGAATTCTGCACTTTCATGGAACTTTTAATAGGTATTTTATAGTGTGCTTTGTTGAGTCAAAGCATTTAAGAAGAAACATTTGGATGGTAAGTGAAAGGTTATAGAAATTAATTTTTAATTTCTCAATTTAAAGGTAGTCTACTGTAGTCAATCATGACTTAATGTGATCACCTGGGATCAATCCTGGTAATCACATTGACAAGTCCATATAGTATCTTGGCAATAGTATGGAAACAGCTTTCATTATCTTCTTTTGGTATGTATTTTGAGCTTCCTGCTCCGTCTCAAAGCATTAATTGATTTGAGGCTGTATTATAGTCAAATTTAACTATGATTAGGCAAATCACAATGACCTGTGTCATATGTAATGTTAAGCCTTAAATCAGTGGTTCTCAACCTTTTTAATGCCACGACCCCAACCGGTCGTAGGTCAAGGACTAAACCGGTCATAAGTCGAGGACTAAACCGGTCGTAAGTCAAGGACTAAACCGGTCGTAAGTCGAGGACTACCCAACCGGTCGTAAGTCGAGGACTTTCCCTGCCCGGGAGCGCCGTGCATGCGTGGTTCCGCCCCCTGCGCCGGCCGACGCGTAGCTGGCAAGCGGCAGAGACGGAGCAGGCCGACCCCCAGCTGGCCCAGCCCAAGGGAGGTAAGGCACCCGCT